TTGAAAAATAATTAAATTAAAAAAACAAGACCACTGGCAAAAAAAAAAAAAGATCAAATCTATGAACACTAAAATGGCAATAAATTCACAACTATGAACAATTAAATCTAAAAAACAAATGAAGCAAACAAGCAGAACAGAAACAGAATCATAGACATGGAGATCATTCGGAGGGTAACCAGCTGGGAGGGGTAAGGAGGAGAATGGGGGAAAAGGTGCAGGGAATAAGTAAAAACTCGTAGGTACAGATAGGTAATATAGCCAAAGAACTTTATTTATGCATGACCAAGGGACATGGACGGGGGTTGGGGTGGGGAATTGCTGGAGGGAACGGGGGTACTCTAGGTGGAGTAGGAAAAAGTGAGGAAAATTGGGACAACATAATAGCATAATCAAGAAAATACATTAAACAAAAGAAAGATGTGGTTTATATATAGACCTACCAATCCACTTTATCTACTACTAGGTCCAACTGAAGTCTAAAGACAAAATCTACTCTATTTCCACTAAAGCTCAAGCCACCCAAGTATTAATAAGGGTGAGAAGAAAAAAATAAAAATTTAAGTGCTTGACTTGCCTCTCTCTAAAAGAAGCAATTACTGAGATACAGAAAAGGAACTTGCTGGGAAATAATAACTACTATTGTTTTAAACCCTCCCTCCTGATGTATAATTCTGCACATATATGCATTTGTAAAATATAAACTATAATATGAATAAACGGTTTCAGCAAAGGTAAACAATATGCCTTGAAAGGAAATAATCATATGAATATATGAAGAAAGGTTATCCCAGACACGATCACAAAAGATCTATGACAGACTGCTTCATTAAATATGTATTTTCTTAAGAAGTAATTTTCTTTTCTTTTTTAATCCTTACCCAAGGGTATGCTGATTTTAGATAGAGGGGGAGGGAGGGAGAGAAGAAGAGAGAGATACATACATGTGAGAGAAACATTGATTGGTTGCCTTCTGTATGCACCCGACAGGGACTGAACCCACAACCCAGGCATGCACCCTGACCAGGAATCAAACCTGAGACCTTTGGTTTTATGGGAGGATGCTCTAACCAACTGAGCCACACACCCACCAGGGCAGTAATAATTTTCTTGAATTGCTGCTCAGAGTATTTTAATTCTGTTCACAGAATATTACATGCCAAATGAAGTATACAATGCAAAGCAAAAACCATCTGTTTTAAAACATTTAAATGCTAGGATAATTTCAGGATCAAATGACTGATTTTATTTTTCTATATAATTACATACTCTTCTTCCTAAACCACTAGGGAGCTCTCCCTGTAGTAAAGACATTAAATTCATACTATCTTAAGGATGATTCATGGTCACAATCGGGGACATCATACAAAAGGGAAGATCGCCAAGCCAACTGTAATAAATTTGCAAATAAAATTTTCATCACAATAAGTGCTTCCTTGCTCTATGGAAAAATACTCAACAGTGTAATTTTTTTAAATGCACAGATATCTGTAGCAAGGTAACTTTTATATTGAATTAACTTAGCCTTATACCATTATTCTACTTCCTAAGCTGTCAACGCATTGCTAACACTATAAAATCCATACTTTAATGTTTCTACCCTGCCAATACCCCTGACCAAAAAAGAAACATAGGGTGAGACTCCCATATAAATTTTATAAAAAAGGACTACTGCACACAACCATACCAAAACACAGTTTTAATCCTTAATCCTGAACCCATGTAATATTTGCGGTTTTGTTTATATAAGTTAACAATCTGCTTCCAAGTAAAGCCCATCCTGTTTAACGATTCTACAGTACTGGGTAGAGTTGTTGATTATTAATGTGCTTGACAGATAATCCAATATCAGAGGCCTCTAAGCTATGGAAAACAAGCAATTCTAGTATTAGCTAAATAACTTATATGTGGCATGGGCTGCATGTCCTTTTAGCTGCTCCTAGTTATCCTATACAACAAAGATGGTCATTAACTTCGGGGTAACAAGGTGTGTAGAACATTATTTTAACAGAAAAATTCAAGTTTCAACTTTTCTCGAGTTTTTATTTCATGTGACTTAAAAATTCCCTCATTAAAACATCCCCTGGATCCATTTGCATCTTGAGAAAAGTATTTTCCACCAGATAATTTACAAGCATCTGTGATGGTAGGTTTTAATTTCATATCCTAGGAATTTAATGCTGATGACACTCATGCTCTAAGAATGACCTTATCTACTTCCAGCCAAGATGGAGGCATAGGTGGAAACACTGTGCCTCCTCTCGCAACCAAGTTTCAAGACAACAACAATTTAGTAACAAAAAAGCAACTAAAACAGACAGAAAATTAAACTGTACAGAAGTCCAACATCAACGAACCATTCATCCAGACCGGTAAGAGGGGCAGAGTCAGCGGCTGGTGGAACGGGGTCACGCAGGAAAAAGGGGCCAGACCAACCCAGGCGCACAGGCAGTGGTTGGCAGATCCCAGGTGTGGGGTGGCAACAGGCAGACCCAGTCAGGGCGCAAGGCGGCTGGCTGACTATGGACACACATTCACGCAGATAAAACCAGGCAAAGGAGTGAGCAGTGAGATAGACCATGCAATCCAGGGCTCCAGCGCTGAGAAATAAAGCCTAAAAGCACCAACTGGAAAAACTTTCAGGGGTCGAGGTGCCAGGAGAGGCTCCCAGGCTCACAGAAGAGTTCACTGGAGAGACCCACAGGGTTCTGGAGGGTGCACAAGTCCACACACCCGGGAACTTCCAACAGAATGGCCCAGGTTTGCTTTTGGGAAGCAGTAGAGGGGACCGAAATCTGAGAGAGTGCAGAACAAATGCCATTGCCCCTTTCTGACCCCGCCCCCACATACAGGGTCAAACCCAGTGACTGGGTTACCCCTTCCTGGTGAACACCTAAGGCTCTGCCCCTCATACGTAACAGGCGTAACCAGACCAAAACATTATGGCTCAAGAAGAACAGATCAAAGCCCCAGAGCCCGTACTTCTAAGCCACCAAGAGATAGCCAACGGATCAGATGCACAGTTCAAAATGCTGGTGATCAAAATGCTCACAGAACTGGTTGATTTTAGTCACAAATTAGAGGAACATATGAAGGCTAAACTAATTGAAATGAAGGGAAATGCACAGGAAACCAATAGTGATGGAAAGGAAACTGGGACTCAAATCAAGGGAGTGGACCAGAAGGAAGAAAAAAATGACCAAGCAAAAAAGAATGAAGAAACAAGAATTCAGAAAACTGAGGAGAGGCTTAGGAACCTCCAGGACATCTTTAAACATTCCGACATCCGAATTATAGGGGTACCAGAAGGGGAAGAGGAACAGCCACGAGTGGGAAACTTATTTGAATAATAAAGGAGAAATTCCCCATTTTGGCAAAGGCAATAGACTTCCAGGAAATCCAGGAAGTTCAGAGAGTCCCAAAGAAGTTGGACCCAAAGAGGAACACACCAAGGCACATCATAATTACATTAGCCAAGATTATAATGAAGGAGAGAATCCTAGAAGCAGCAAGAGCTAAGGGGACAGTCACTTACAAAGGACTTCCCATCAGACTGTCAACTGATTTCTCAAATGAGACCTAACAGGGCAGAAGGGACTGGAAAGAAGTATTCCAAGTCATGAAATCCAAAGACCTACATCCAAGATTGCTCTATCCAGCAAAGCTTTCACTTAGAATGGAAGGACAGATAGTGTTTCTCAGATAAGGTCAAATTCAAGGAGTTCATTATCACCAAGCTGTTATTATATGAAATGTTAAAGGATTTACCTAAGAAAAAGAAGATAAAAATCTGAACAGTGAAAGACAACAAACTCACAGTTATTAACAACCACACCTAGAACAAAAGCAAACTAAGAGGACAGCTAGATCAGGAGCAGAACCATAGAAATGGAGATCACATGGAGGGTTAGCAACAGGGGAGTGGGAGGAGGAGAAGGGGGGAGAAGGTACAGAGAATAAATAGCATAGACAATAGGTAGGGGGGAGGGCAAGAATAGTATGGGAAATATAGAATCTAAAGAACTGTGACACATGGACATAAACTAAAGGGGGGGAATGGTGGGGGAGGGGGTGTACAGGGTGGAGGGGAATGAAGGGGGGAAATGGGACAACTGTAATGGCATAAGCAATAAAATATATTTTAAAAAACAGAATGATCTTATCTATCTGATTTATATGCTGAAAAGACTAAGCCCTGGCTGGGTGGCTCAATTAGTTGGAGCATCATCCCATGCACCATAAGGCTATGGGTTTAGTCCCCAGTCAGGGCACATACCCAGGTTGTGGGTTCGCCCCGATCAGGGTGCATATGGAGGGCAACTGATGATCAATGTTTCTCTCTTACATCAGTGTTTCTCTCACAGCAATGTTTCTCTTTCCCTTCCTCCCTCTGAAGTCAGTAAACTTATCCTCGCGTGAGGATTTAAAAAAGGCCAATAAAATCCAACATAAAACAAACTCACCAAAACTTTCTCATCAGTGTGGTGTCATTATCAAAATAATCATACTGAGGGTAAATAATATATTCTATCTGCAACTACATATGCAAATTCAAACCACAGGCCCAAGTATAAACCATCTCTGACTATGACATTGATCTAGCACCAGAGAGATGAGAGACTAAAGCAAAGGACTACAGCTGTACAGATACAATGGAATTCTTAAAATAAAACTATACAGATGTTAACAACTCAAGTAAAAAATAATGAAATCAGCCATCAAGCTTTGAGTAACTAAACGCATAATTTTGCTACTCCCCCTAAGCCATAAAGACTTACAAGGTGATGAAAATAAATTCAGTTTAAAAATTTCACCCTTTAAAAAATTGTTATTTCATTAATCTATATTTTTTGGAGCTTTGACAAAACACTATCACCATAAACTATAGATAAATAATTAGCTTTCTTTTCTACTCTTAGGCCTCAAACATCAGTATTAAGTAACTTTTTAAACAAACCCAGTGATCAGGTATGTGACCACACGCCTGATCATGTAGTTACCTTCATGTCATAGCCATATGTCTCCCGAATGTCTTCATCAGAATCTGTTTCTTCATCATCATAATCCATTGTTTGTCGAGGGGAAGAAGATACACTGCTTACCATCCGGTTAAAAGCAGACTGCTGGAAACTAGGTAAGTGTCCCTAAACAACATTTCCAGGATGAACAGAGAGACACACTAAATAAATATGGGTACTATGTGACTGTGACTACCAAAGTGTAATGAACTTGCAAAGTGGCTAGCTAACAAGAGTTCTCCAGTTAGTATCAGATCAAATTATTTGCCTATGATACCAAGATCTACCTGAATAATATATCCAGATAATTTTCAACTAAAACGAGATAGGTATATATCCAAAGAAAATTCTACAGGTGTATGTAGAATGAAGGTTTTATGAATAATATAGTTGCTGGCAGCTTACTGTTGTCCTAGTCAATTGCTATGATAGATTTGATTTCCTATTTACACACTGACAAATATTATCTCATGAAATATAAGAAGAAAGAAAATCCTAAACTTACCTGTAAGTCTGGATTGGCAGCTGCTTTTTGGAGTTCTGCACTGATGATCTTTTCAGTTTTTTCTCGAGCTGCCTGCTCTATCATACGCTGGCTCAACACAGATAGTTTGGCCAGGGCGGAAGACAGTTCATCTGTGGCTAGGGCCTGCCGTGCTCTATCCTGCCAACTCATAGCACGTTCTGTCAAACACTGTAGGGCCTCTCCCTCAGGCAACCGTACAGGCAACTTCTGAAGGGATACTAGGAGTGACAGTATAGTTTCTAGCCTTGGCCTTCGAGACCGCATACAAAGAGGGCAAAGAAATTTTACTTCTTTAGCCTGCCAGCTAGACCCTTTTTTCTGGGAACATGACTTAGGCAGGGGAACACAGCTGTTATGGAACCAGTCTTTGCAGAGCTCACACTGCAGCATAAACCCACTAGCTGTCTTGCGGCAAACACAAAATTTCACTTCTTCTATGCGGTCCACCATCGTCATCTTAGCTAGGTTGGCTGCTCTGAGGGAATGCATGGCTTCAATCTCTTTTTGCTCCCGTTCTTTGAAAACTGCCACCTGTACACAACAAACAGTTAATAGAAAGAAGTCACTGGAAAATACTCCAAAAGTATCAAATCTTCAAGGCTAAGGGATCACCTACAAATTGTGGCCTCATGGTGACAAAACATTTTCCTTTCAAAAAAACCAGTTGTTGAGAAATAGACAAAAAACTGTACTTAAAAAATAACTAAATTAAAAAAAGAGAGAGAGAGAAAAAAAAAACAGTTGTCAATCATTTCCTAAAATGTGGGGCAGCCCTGACAGTTTCCACGTAAACATTCCTTGTCTGTAAAATGGCCAAAGAGCTAACATATTTGACAATTTTATCAGTAGGGTACTTTGAATTCTTCCGTAGACTCAGTAAATATGCCTTATTATCAAAGAACCTGATTATGAAGCCTGGCTCTTGTAACTTATGTATTGTTGATCTGGTGCACAAGTTTTCTGAATTGCAGTTTTCTGGAAAATGAGGATACCACCAACCTCATTTTGTTGTTTTAAGGATTAAATAAGGTAACACATCAACATGCCTAACATGGTGCTTGGCACAAGGTGAACCCTCAATAAATACTAGTTCCCCATCCCCTTGAAATTCATTCCTTAGGAAGAAGTCTTATAAAAATCCATTTTTGTTTCTTTTTAGAAGGCCTCTCCAACTTACGTAGAAGTAGAATAGCACAGCCTGATAGCCAATTACAACAAGATTTTACATAGCCCATTTCAAAAAAGTAAATAGAAGTAAAAAAAAACTTTTAATTATCATGAATACTGACAGTAGATTTTTAAAAATCTTTCATAGCTTTGAACAATTTTGAAATGATTTCCTTTTCCACTTGTCTGGCAAGACTGACCTGTTAGGCAGGCTCCTTAATAAGAAATCATTTCTACTGACCTCAAAACAGGATTATTTGCTAACAATATTGTGAAACCTGTGTTATGGTACCAAGTAAGTACCTGAAATATTGGGGGAAACACTCTGTCTAACCACTATGATGTACACCTAAAACTAATATAAAATAATGTTGAATTCAAACTGTAATTGAAAAATAAAATTTAAAAAATCCTAAAAACAAAAAACAGAAATCATTTGTAGGCAGAAACAGCCATACAAAATCCTTACTGTATTACACATTGGAGCAGCCATTTGAAACTCCTTACTATTACATATTATATAATAAACTCATTTTTATTTTCTATTTCCTCAGGTTCCTAGTATTCTTAACATACTGCTCCTACTCTGCAAAAAAAATAATTCTAATTGGCTACAAATATTTTATTGAGCACTCATTATATTACTGAATGCTACTAAGTAAAGGGAGATATTTTAAACAGCAGCTGGTATCAGTAAGCTGATACAGTTCCTGTGAAAAGCACATTAATATTAAGTGTCACAAATTATTATTAAATTCTAACCCAGTAATCCTATTCCTAAGAGTTAAGTGAAGGAAAATAACTTGAAAAAGGGAAAGGCCACACAAAGAAGTTCACTTTATTAGTATCCATAATAGTGAACATTTAATAACCAAATGTTCAACATCAGAAAAATGTTCAGCAAATTATTGACAATTTGACAGAATATTAGACAACTATTAAAATAACAAGAAACAGATAAATGGAAACAAACTCTAGGAAGAGAACAGAATAATAAACTTTTTTGTATACTTTGGTTATTAATACTTTTAAAATGTGAAATATATATAACCATAAAGCCAAAAAAAGTATATAGAAATTTTAAAAGTTAAGAACACAAGAACAGTGAATGTGCTACTATCATCACAGAATTTTGTATTCTCAGTACAAAGTTAAGATGCATATCATAGCTTCTTACCACCATGGCTGTATCTCTGGTTTCCTCCAATCCTTCCTCCAGATCAGTCAGAGGCTCAAGGTCCAGATCCTTTTCTTTTTCTTTTTCCATTAGTTCTTTTCCTTTTTTTCTTCTGTTTTTACCACTCCCATATATACCAATGTCAGTTCTGGGACTTAGCACCTACAAAAATAAAACCAAACATTGGGCTCTGGTTAAAAAAAACCAACTTAGAATTAAAAATACTAAAAGGAAACATTTACTGACTGCTCACCAAGTTCTAGGCACTGTCTTACGGACTTTACACACCTTATCTAATTCAATTCTCATAACAACTCTCTGAAATATACAGTATCATCTGTATTTTACAAACGAGGGAAACTGAGGCTCAGAAAAGAAACAACTTCACCAAGGACACAGGGTTAGTAATTAGGAAGCCGATCTTCAAACATAAAACTAACTTACTATGTTTAAATGCTCAAGATGAGTAGGGTAATGTGTATTTAAATTTATGCTACTGAGAAATGAGACCTTTCAGCGATGGAGTCTATTAACAAGAGAGACAAGATCCAGGCTGATTGCTTTTTCTGGACACAGCACAGTATGAATGAGAAATAAGTCTGTCATAGGCTCCAAATTTCTGGTCAGCATTTAAGATTTTAGTTATTTATTTTTTGAGAAAGGGAAAGGAAGAGAGAATGAGAGGGAGAGAAACGTCAGTGCGAGAAACATCCATTGGTCGCCTCTTACACACATCTCCGGCAAGGACCAAACCTACAACCCATGCATGTGCCCTGACTGAGAATCATCAAGCCAGTGATCTTTAGCTTTGTGGGATGATGCCCAGATGAACCACACCAGTAAGAGCTCTGGCCAACATCTGATATTACCTAACAGGTATCTCTTGTACAACTGTAACAAGATAAAATGAAAACAATCCTCACCAATAACACTACCTATAGGTATTAAATAATCAACTTCTAATGAAGGTGTTAAAGTATAGATATATAAAGTAAACCACTCTTTACCTGTAACAATGTATGGCTAGAATTCTTCTTAAGAAAGGTCCGCCCGGTCCGTTCTCTCCATGCCCGTGCTGCTGCTACTTGTGATTCTACTTGGGGCAACGCATCAAGACGCACAGGAATGGGACGCCCTTTAGCAGATAGGCTCTCGAGCTGCTCCAAGTAAGCATAGTTGCTGCCACTCTGAAAAACGAAAGTACATTATCACACATTTGCATTCACTTACGAAGTGTAGCAATCTATTGTCAAAGACCTCACAAGAGTTTAGAGTGATTTTTTATTAAATATTGTTCTTTAGACCTCATTATATCTCTTGAATTAATAGAGCTACCAATGTTCTCTTTAAAAAGTTTGTAAAAGGCCTTGGCCAGGCAGTTCAGTTGGTTAGAGTGTCATCCTGATATGTCAAGGCTGCAGGTTCAATCCTCCATTAGGGCACATACAAAAATCAACTAATGAATGCACACATAGGTGGATTAACAAATCACTGTTTCTCTTTCTCTCTCCCTCCCTTTCCCTCAGTCTAAAAATAAAATCAGTAAACTGTATGTTTTTAAAAAGTGTGTAAATACAATATACAGATGTACTGAATTGTATACACCTGAAAATAATGTGTTATTAACCAATGTCACCCCAATAAATTTTAAAAGTTTGTGTAAATTCATGTTGTCAAAGATTTTAATTTTACTGATTGAGGGAACCAGTAAGATGTAAAAACCAGTTCAAAGGCTGATGTACAGAACAGACATATATATGCTTAGAAATGAGGAAACAAATTTACTAATGGATGGAAACAGATATTTAATAACATACAGGACAATGGACAATGTAAAGAACAGGCATATAACTTCTAGTCAAGATGGAGGTATAGGCAGACACACTTCGCCTCCTTGCACAACCATATGAAGAATTACAACTAACTTCAAAACAAACAAAAAACCCAGAACTGCCAGAAAATTGAATTGTATGAAAGTCTGACAACCAAAGATTTAAAGAAGACATATTAATCTAGATGGGTAGGAGGGACAGAGCTAGGGAGCCAGGTGAAGAGGATGTGGTGTGGCAGTGGTGTGCAGAGGAGACCATGAGGAACAGGCCATCCCACAGGATACCTGAGGAGCGAGCCCCAGGCCAAACTGCACTGCCCAGGGTTCCAGCAACAGGAAAATAAAGCCTCATAACTCCTGGATATAAAAACCAGGAGGGGTTGGGACAGCAGAAGAAACTGCTGGTCTCTCAGAAGAGTCCATTTGAAGGGCCTGCAGGGTCTTAGAACATATGCAAACCCACCCACTCTGGGAATCACCATCAGGGCAACAGCTAGACGAGTGTCAGTTATGTAAGTGACTGGAAGCAGGGTGAGTGCCAAACAAATCTCCTGCAGTCAAGCAGTGGCACTGGCTCCTGTCTGACCCCTACCCCCATATACATATACAGAGCCACAAAGCAGTGAAGTGGGCTGCCCCACCCTGGCATTTACCTAAGGTTCCACCCCATACAACATAATATAGGTGCACCAAGACAGGGAATCAAAGCAGCTCTACCTATTACACAGAAACAAACACAGGGAGGTTGCCAAATTGAGGAGACAAAGAAATATGGCTCAAATGAAAGAAAGAAACAAAACCCCAAAGAACTAAGTGAAATGGAGATAGCAACCTATTATGCAGAGTTTAAAATACTGGTGATAAGGATGCTTAGAGATCTCACTGAGTATGACAAAAGCATAAGGGAAGAAATGAAGACTATGCCAAGTAAAATAAAGAAAAATCCACAGAGAACCAACAGTGAAGGAAAGGAAGCTGGGGTTCAAATCAATGATTTGGAGCACAAGGAAGAAATAAACAGTCAATGAGAGCAGAATGAAGAATTAAAAAAATTAGGAGAGACTAAGAAGACTCTGTGACAGCTCCAAACATGCCAATATCTGAATCATAGGGATGCCTGAAGAGGAAGAGCAAGAAAGTGAACATTTATTTGAAAAAATACGGAAAGAAAATTTTCCTCCTTTGGTGAAGGACATAGACATACCAATGCAGAAAGTATCAATTCCTAAACATGTTTGATCCAAAGAGGACTACACCAAGACACATCATAATTGTGTCTTGTGGGAAAGGAGTTCCCACAAGACTATTAGATGATTTCTCAAAAGAAACTTTGCAGGCAAGAAGAGACTGGCAAAAAATGTTCAAAGTGATGAAAAGCAAGGACCTACAACCTAGACTACTCTACCCTGCAAAGCTATCACTTAGAATGGAAGGGCAGATAAAGTGCTTCCCAGACAAGGTAAGGCTAAAGGAATGCATCGTCATCAAGCCCTTATATGAAATGTTAAAGTGACTTATTTAAGAAAAAGAAGAAGTTCAAAACAATGAACACTGAAATGACAACAAACTCACAACTATCAACAACTGAACCTAAAAAACAAAGGAAACACAAAAACAAACCAAGCAAACAATCAGAACAGTAACAGAATCACAGATATGGAAATCATCTGGAGGGTTACAGGCAGTGGGAAGGAGGAGAATGGGGGGAAAGATACAGAAATTAAGATGCATAACTGGTAGGAACAAACTAGGCAGGGGGTTGTTAAGAATAGTGTAGGAAATGGAGAAGTCAAAGAACTTATATACATGACCCATGGACATGAACTAAGGGGGGGGATTGCTAGAGGGAGATATTGGTACAATGATAATAGCATAATCAATAAAACATACTTTAAAAAAAGAACAGGCACATATATACTTACAAATGAGGAAGCAAATTTGCTAATGGATGGAAACATATGTTAATATCATACACAGAATGGAATTATCTTTTGTACAGTTGGAAATGAATTGTTCCATATCCAAAAATAAATTTAATTACTTTTCTCTGAACATAATTTATTTGTATCACTATCATTTTTAAATAATTGATGCAGTTGTTAAATAGCTTTGTCAAAGAAAATCTAAGGCATACAGTCCTAGAATCAGATATTCAGACAGTCCACCAGACAATATCCATTATTCCACTGAAAAGACATCCAGTAATGTTTTTTGCCTGTTTCAAAGTCTTCCAGTTTTTCCAACCACAAAGCAATGTTCTTTAGTTCTGATAATCACCTCCATTTTACGTTATATAAACAAAGATGAAAATGGATATTTTCCTTCTAAGTCACAATGTTTCCGCATTTTGATGTAATGAAGTAATTGTTTTCTGAACTTATATACTTCTTTAAATTCACTAAATAACTAAATCATTACAGCAGGTGAGAGAGTTAACAAGTAATCCATTCTAGGGTCTTGGCAAGAACACCTGAACTGGGAGGGCAGCCTGCAGACATTAGTTCGGAGTAATATTTTAGGATTAATCTCCTAGCAAAAACATTAGCATTCCTATAATAAACCATATATATCCCCATAATATTTATTTTTATTCAGAGGCTATAAAGGCATAGTATCAAGTGTTAAACACTGACATTCCATTAAAAGGTTATTTCCCATGTACTAACTGACTTGTCTGCCTGTAAATTTGTTTTGAAAGTACAATAATACTGAAACATATGGAAAAATAAAAAGGTAAGAAACTTTTAAAAAGAGTAGTAAGGTTCTAGCCCTAACATATTAAATGGTATAATCAAATAACTATGGTGTTTGAATAAGGATAGGCATCTAATTGAAAGAGAAGAGAAAGCTCAGACACAAATAGGGTCAAGAAATACTGTATTTATTACTAATCCCTCCTGTATCCAACTATAGCCATTTGACTACAGAACACATTCTGTAGGTTAAGCCTAGAGACAGCCTGCCCTCAAGCTATGTATTCTAAGGAAGAGTTTGCCTTTAAACCAAAGCTGTCCATTTAAAGGCTACAAAGTCAGTCTTCTTGAAGGGAAGGGATGGATGTAGGAAAAATCCTTCAAAATTAGAGGAAACATAAGACAGCTACCTATACTTGCCAACTAAATCCTTCAATCATAAATAAATAGCCAACTATGGAATATGAGACATTTAAGAACAATCAATTGCCTGAAATAAGTCAAAGATGAAACAGAGGAGTTGTCCTGATTAAAAACAAACAAACAAAAAAGACCAAAAAACCCTGGTTAGTGTGGCTCAGTGGATTCAGTGCTGGCCTGTGAATCAAAGGGTCGCCGGTTTGATTCTCAGTCAGGGCGCATGCCCGGGTTGTGGGACAGGTCCCCAGTTGGGAGTACACAAGAAGCAACCACACATTTATTTCCCCTCTCTCTGGAAATAAATAAATAAAATCTTAAAAAAAAATTTTTAAAGAGATAATTTTATCAACAAAAAAACAGCACAGAAAGAGAGGCAGCTAAATAGGTCCCAGAAAAAGTCAACTGAAAAGAAAGTAAAAGAAGAAATCATTAGAACTTGCTTGACTCAGAATACGTTCTTTCTTGGTGCAGCAATTCATATCCTGAGTACTGTAAATGCTACTAATGGTTTTTATAATTCATAAGAAATATTATGTAGACAAGCACACTCTTATTTCTATCTAGCACGGATTTCATTTTGTCATCTTTAACAGCAGGGAGTCAGTAGAAACAGTAATGTTTAATAAGTAATATTTATTTTGAAATACAAAATCAGATGGGAGAACAAGTGAACTTTACTAACTATAATTATTTTGTTATGGTTATTCTAATTCTTAAAAATTAAAGGCTTATGATTCATCTGTGAAAAAGCATTATCTGAATGATTGAAAAATTCAAAAGGTTCCTTACCTGAAGAGCTTCCACTTTAGCTGTCCATTCTCGAGCCTTTTGTAAGGCTTCTTTCAGGGACAGCACATTAGGTAGAAAAGCTGGAATGTTCTTAGCTTCATTCACAATGCTTTCTAAACTTGCCACACTGTGTCTTGGTCTAACAATACACAAAATACAGGGCAGACATATGAGGAAAAATCAAACTTCCAAAATATGCAGAGAATTTTCATATACTTGATTTCATTTAATTCTTACCATAATTCTGTAAGGGAAGCAAAACAGCTATTATCTTTATTTCCATTTTATAGGTAACTTTCAATTATTTTCCCTAAAGACACTTATAGTAAATGGCACACCTGAAATACTGATGTCTCAGATCCCATGCTCTTTTCACTATACTAAATTGCCTCTACTTGAGTTCTCCACAATATCTGAAATTGTCAGAGATGTATAGTAGGTACAATGTAGAAAGCAATAGTCTAGAAATCAATTAATGTTGACCATGAACATTTAATTAAACTACAGTCATTAACACCTAGTTACACAAAGATGAATAAAAAGACCTTTATCCTCAACTAATCAGAATACAAGATAAGCATGTACTGGAAACTAAGAACAAATTACTACAGGAGGTAATGATTAATTCTGCCTAGGGAGACTGAGAAGGGCTTTGAGCTACGCCTTAAAGGTAGGTGATTTTGTCAAGTGAAAGGTTAAAGGAAAAAAACAGGAATATAAAAAAGCAGGACAAAGAGAGACAGACAAAAATAAGTTGGTAGTCTAGTTTAAGATAAGGAACGGTATGAAGATTGGGGGAGGGAGTAGGTAGAGGGATTTGGTAGGAAAGAAAGATGTAAACCAATTAGAGGTCTTGAGAGCCCTGAATTTCAGTATGTAAACAATGGGAAGCTGCTTAGGATGGGAAGGAAAGGTTTTTGTCACCATCCATGAATCCTACTATGTGATAGGCACTGTGCTGGGTCACAGAGATTATTAATGTGCAAGAGTAACAGCATCCTTGCCTTATAAAACTTTTTAATCTTGTGGAGGAGGGACTTATTCATAAGGAGTTAGACGAATGTAAGTACAGTAACAGAGGAAAATAAAGATGCTATCAGGTTATATACTAGGAGGACCTAATTGACTTGGCAGGTGGAAAAAAGGATTACCAGAAATGACCTCTAAGCTTTCTTATACTTTTTGAATTGAAGTTAGTCAGAAAAGCTGGGGCCAGAGGGCTAGTGGAGGTGCACCACAGGGAAACAGCAGAGATGAAGGCTGCTCCATAGGAAAACAAATGGTGCAAAAGGTCCAGAGATAAGCTAGAACATGGCATGTTTGAGGAACCAATGGTGGGGTGGCAGGTGTGATCACTATGTCAGAATGCAAGAGGAAGAATGTCAAAGGATGAGGGAAGATATTTAAGCAAGGGGCTAGATTATAGCTTGGCCTTATAAATCAGGTTAAGGAATCTGAACTTCATCCCAAGTGGAATGGTAAAAAGTGAAGAGTTTTAAGCAAGGGAGTCTAAGTCACACCTGTATTTTAAGAAAATAATAGTTGCAGTGCAGAGAGTAGATTAGAGAGAGGTGAGCTCAGAGATGGGACCTGTTGCTATGATTCATGATCAGCAATGACAGCAACTGCCTCTCCCCCACAAAATAAGAATGAAAGTGAAAAACCAAGGAAATAGAATCAATATGACTTGATAGTTAACTGAGATTGATGGTAAAAAAAAAACTGAAAGCAGGGGTCAAAGTTAATTTTCAAAATACTGGCTTGTTCAAATAATGAAAGATGGTATGATTCAAAGAAAAAAACAAAGGAAGAAATTATGGAAAGGAATTAATGGATTCAATTTTGGATATGGGAATTTGAGGAGCATCCAATGGAATTATCTAATAGGCAGATGGTATCTATGAGAAAAAAAGCTACTATGTTATAGACAAAAATTTGGAATTAATCAGCAGAATGATGGCAAATGGAGCCAAGAAGTTAGATGAATTTTCAAGGAGATGTACAAAGTGAGCAAAGTAGCAGTTTAGGACAGATATACAAAGTGAGAAAAGTAGCAGATTAGGACAGAATACTGAGGAAAGCCATTATTTAAGCAGAGAGAGAAGCCCAAAGGCAAAGGAGGAGGGTACTAAGAAAAAAATGGTCAGCAGTTAACCAATATTGAGAAAGGAAGAATATTAAAAACGTGTTTCAGAAAGGTAATTTTGACAGGTATTAGAAGAGGGAAGACTCTACTTCTCACCATTCCCATCACTCCCTACTTCTTCGCCTATTTTATTTTCTTCATAACACTAAATATCTAAAATTCATTCATTCCTTCACTATTCAACTGTCTCTCCCCTCTACAATGTTGGCTCTATTTTAGGGCAGGGACCTTGTGTGTCTTTTTTCCCTACTATCTCTATCTCCAAAGCATTTAACATTAGTGCCTGGCATGTAGCAGGTACTCTGTAAATACTTACCAAATGGAGATCATCAAGGGAAAATATAACAGTATTATAACTAGATCAGTGACAAAGAAGTCGAAGAGAAAGATATGAAAGACATTTTGAAGAGAAAAAAGGAAGTTTTCAAATATTACTACCAACAAATTTCATTCATTAGACTATAAGTAGATGCATCGGATATACCAAATCATAGTGTTACATTACAAAATTATTTAGCTTCTCCCACTTAATATTCTCCTGCCTCCTGGAAGTCCCATGAATCTGAAGACACAGAGTAATCTGAATGTTCTGGATAAGAAGAATTATAAATAAACATAGTTGCTATGCTCCATAGCATCTGAAGAAAAAAATATCTAATAAACATGGAGCCTTTTTTTGGCTGAACTATGTTAATTAAATCATCTAAGAACTCTTTTTGAAACCATTCAAAATTACTGGCTGGCAAAATAGTTAAGTACATGAAGACTTTGTAGTAGAAAAGACTTTAAATTTGAGCTGTTATTTAATAATTATAAGATCTCTCTAAGCATCACCGTTTCCTTATCCTCACAATAGAAATTATATAAATATTAATCTTAGCTGCTGAAAAGACTGTTCTTTCATAAATAACATTACAGTCAAATTAATTGATATAGAGTCAAATATGCTATATTTAAATCTCACAAGCCCAACAAGGTATTATGCTAATGCAACTACTTAACATACTTATGCCTGATTCTTTTTTGTTTTTTTAAAGATTTTATTTATTTATCTTCAGATGGGAAGGGAAGGAGAGAGGGAGAGAATATCAATGTATGATTGCTTCTCATGCGTCCCCTGCTGGGAACTGGCCTGCAACCCAGGCATGTGCCCTGACTGGGAATTGAACCGTGGTTGTTTGGTTCCCAGGCCTGCACTCAATCCACTGAGCTACACCAGCCAGGGCTACTTATGCCTGATTCTTATTTCTCACTACTTTCCTGCATACATCTTCCACTCCAAAAAAGCCCATTTAAACTTTTGTCATATGAACACTCCTTATATACCTTAAACTTACTAGCTTTTGACATTTCTCTTGCCTCCCCTTCCACTTTAATCCTACTCATTTTTCAAGGTTCTAAGTTCTTACATTTCTCTCAAGATTCTCTTCTGACCATCGAAGCTAACAATGATCTCTCCTTTTCTGAATTCCTATAGCACTTTTCTCCACCCCTCAGTTAATAACATAACTGCAAAGAACTTCATAGTTCTCAGCTCCTAACTATAATATCAGCAATGGAAGGCTCTAAACAAAACACTATTTTGTATCATGTAGAGTACTAACAAAGTACTTTGCACAGAATATATAGAACTATCTATATGTAAAATCATTTCATAACGTGGTGCTTGGTCAGGGAAGGTATAAAATACTTAATGAAATATTTAATGAAATAGTCCCCATGTTCCTCTTCCCATTCTATCTTACTTAGTTATTAAAAAGGCAACAGTCACCAATATATGTGTTCACCTTGCCTGTAGGCAGACCTTAGCCTTTTCTTCCCATCGCTCAGAGACCGTAAGGAGCTCCTGTAGTTCAGCCATTGCTTTCTCCACAGCATGGTGAGGAGCCAACCCCACCCCAGAGTCTATCAATTTCTTCATGACATCCAAAGTGACTTGCTGTGGGTCTGATAGAGTCAGTCTTACTTCATCCAACCATCGAGCCTGCTGTAGCTCTTGCTTTAGTCGGGCTAATTCAGGTAACTCCACATAAAGACTAGAGCCCAGGTCTATCAACATCTGGAGTTTAGAAGAGTCTGGGGTTTCATCCATCATGGCCTCTTGAGCACGTTCATGAAACTCTTCCACATCATCCAGCAGATTCTTAAAAGGTCAAAAGAATAAACATTAAAAATAAATTTAAATGATAAAAAATGAGTATGTTTCTTAGGCATCAGAACAGACAGTTTTAAAAAATATGTTTAATGATTTTGGAGAGAGAGGAGAGGGAGAGAGGGAGAGAAAAGATCTATGTGGGAGCGAAAACACTGACTGGTAGTCTCCCTTATGCACCCTAAGGATCACACCTGCAACCTAAGTTTGTGCCCTGACCGGAAATCAAACTCCCAACCTTTTTGTGTGCAGGACGATGTTCCAACCAACTGAACCACACTGACCAAGGCAAATAGACATAATTTTGATAGGTAAAATTATCAAATTCTAGACCATCTAATAATCTCACCATCATAGCACCAAACTATGAGTGTTAAGGGCATAAATATGCTTCTCTATAATCTCTTACATAGTCCTACTTTTAAAATATGATTCATTTAAAAATATGTAATGACTTCTGACTATAGGCACTGTCCTAGGCACACAGCATTAAACAAAACATACGAAGTCCTTGTCTTCAAGAATATACATTTCAATATAAGTGGCCAGTCACCAAATACATGAATAAAATGTCAGTTTTTTTAAGCACTACGAAAATAAAATAGAGCAACACAATAGAGAATGAACAAAAGTGCGGCATATTACTTTGCAGTGGTCATCTGAAAGACAGATGAACCAAAACAAAAATGAGAAGGTAAATGTGGGAACCTCATGAACAGCTAGGAATAGAGCAGTTCAGACAGGGCAAGTAATAATTGCAAAAGCTTTGAAACAGAAATGAGGCTGGTGTCTTGCTCCAAAGTGGATGACAGGGAGCAAAGTAGATGAAGAGTATAACAAGACCCCCCAAAATGGAAATTATTTATTAAAAACTGTGTATTTATTTTTACATGTTTAAACTTCAGTCACCTTCAAAGCATTGTCCATTTTATGCAAAACACCTATCTAGAAGTTTTTTCTACTGCTCAAAATAGTTTTTGAACTTGTCAATTTTGATGTCTTTTAGTGCTTCTGCCATTTTTGAGTCACCTCTTCCATATTGGCAAAACATTTCCCTTTGATAACTTTTTTCATCCAGGTAAAGAAAAACAAAGGCGCTCAGGGAGAGATGGGTGAATAGGAAGGGTGGGGTATAGGGGTCACACCATTTTGGTCAAAAACTGCTGAACATGGTACAGTGTGGGCTGGTACACTCATGAATCACCCATCGTGAAATGGGTAAGGGAGCTGAAACAATCTTTAAAAAAAATTTACTGAAGCCTAACACAGCCTCTCACAAAAACACCAGCTGGTACACTGATATAGATGGGTTCCTAGAACATTCACCTAGTGGGGTAAGCCTGTACTACAATAAAGGGGCCTGCCCTCCAGAAAATAATTCTTTTTTTTTGGAGGGGTCCCCGCCTCATAAATGTAGTTGACAGTTCATCAGTAGTGAGAGCAGAGAGCAAACCCCAGAGAGCCCGAAGCAGCCCCACCTGCCACCAGCCTAGTTACCACTGCACCCAGGGAGGAGCCACCGCTGCCACAGCCAGCCCAAGTCACAATCACTGAAACCATGAGCAGTGAGGCCAAGACCCAGTAGCTGCCTGCTGCCCCCACCCTCAACACTGCCAACACCAAATGCAGCAACACAGGGAGTGGTGGCCCAGGCAGCCTCAGATCAGCGGTGCCTGCTGGAGAGGACAAGGTCACCCCAACAGGTTTGGAGAAGAGTAAAATGGTTTAGTGTAAGGAATGGATATGGTTTTACTAATAGGAACGACACCAAGGAAGATGTATTTGTATACCAGACTGCCATAAAAAAGAATAATCTCAGGAAGTACCTTTGCAGTATAGGAGATGGAGAGACTGTGAAGTTTGATGTTGTTGAAGAAAAGGGTGTGAAGACAGCAAATGTCACAGGCCCTGGTGGAGTTCCAGTACAAGGCAGTAAACATGCAGCAGACTACAATAGATACATGCTATCTATATTGTAAGGGTTCTCCTCATAATTACCAGTAGAATTACCAGAATAGTGAGAGTGGGGAAATTAATGAGGAGTAGGAGAGTGCTCCAAAAGGCCAGGCCTAACAGCATTGGCCCTACTGCAGAGACCCTATGGGCAATGACCATAGTATTCCAACCCACCTGTGCAAGGAGAAATGATGTAGGGTGCTGACAAGGGTGCAAGAGAACAAGGTACACCAGTAAGACAGAGTATGTGTCAGGGCTATCGACCACGATTTCACAGGGGCCCTCCTTGCCAAAGACAGCGTAGAGAGGACAGCAATGCAGAAGATAAGGAAAATCAAGGAGCTGAGACCCAAAGTCAGCAGCCACTTCATCAATGGTGTTGCTGCAACTTCAATTACTGACACAGACACCCAGTAAACCCTAAACCATAAGATGGCAAAAAGACAAAAGCAGTTAATCTACCAGCTGAGAATTTGTTTGCTCCTGAGGCTAAGCAGGGCAGGACTGAGTAAATGCCGGCTTACCATCTCTACCATCATTCTATTTAGTTATCCAACAAGAAATGAATATAAAATCCCAACAATAAGAAATGAACACAAGATTGGAGCTGAAGACCATGGTGCTTACTTCTGCCCATTGACCAGATAACTAGAACTATCTGCATTAACTACGCAACATGGGGTTTTCATTACTTTTAGCTAAAGACATCTCTTTTTGGTAATGACAAATGTTTTGTGTGTGTGTATTTTTTTTTAATAAACCTGATTTTTCTCAATATACCTTTAAAGGTTTTTAAAATGGTTTTTTTTTTTTTTAAGATTTTATTTATTTATTTATAGAGGGGAAGGAGAGAGGGAGAGAAACATCAATGTATGGTTGCCTTTCGTGCATCCCCTGCTGGAAACTAGCCTGCAGGGAAGCAGTCTGCAACCCAGGTATGTGCCCTGACTGGGGATCAAACCTCAATCCTTTGATTTGCAAGCCCGAGCTCTATCCCCTGAGCTACACCAACCAGGGCTTAAACTGTTTTATATCTGGTCATGTTGAGATTTTTTTAAGAACCTCACTTTTAATTTGCAGTAAAAGTTTACAACTTGATTTTTACAAAAAAGTAACAAACTGAATAAGGTCTTAAATTAAAACACAAGAAAATAAATATAGTTGAAGAATAAGCAGAAGTCAGATTATGAGTTTAGATTTTAATCTAATAGTTTTGGGGAATGACTGGAACCAAGGGGAAGTGATATAATTTGATTTATATTTTACATGATCACTCTGGCTACTAATGTCAGGAACAAGAGTAGAAGGGAAACCTGTTAAGAGGCTGGTTCCATTAATCTAAATGACAGATTCTAGTGGTGTAGAGCATAGTTTAAGCAATGGAGGTGATGACAAATGGTTTACTTTGGCATACATCTTAGAGGTAATAGCATTTCTTTAGAGACTAGACATAGAGTATAAAAGAAATAAAGAAATCAAGGATTTTGATTCATTAAAAGGCTTTTAAGAAGCCTTTTATTCTGCAGAAAGGAATGGCAGTCAGAGCTGGAGATTGGAACTTAATAGTATATAGGTAATATTTAATGTCTCTGGACAAATAAACTATCAGGACTAAGACTAAAAAAATGGGGCTCAGTCTCCTAATATACTCCACAATTAGAAGTCAAGACAAGGTCATGGTTCTTGGGCCTGGGTCTATTAAGCACAGCAGTCATAGCCAGCCATGCTCTCTGAGGGCACCAAGATAACCATCACAGGTCTGGGCACCTGGAAGTCCCCTCTGAGCAAAGTGATGGAGGCTGTGAAGGTGGCAAATGACCTTGGATACCACCACACCGAACAAGTATAAAGGTGGGGTGGCCAACCAAGAGAAGCTCAAGGAGCAGGTAGTAAAGCGAAAGGATCTTTTCATCAGCAGCAAGCTGTGGTCCTTGTACCATGAGAAAAGCCTGGTGAAGAGAGCCTGCCAGAAGATGCTCAGAGACCTGAAGCTGGACTATCTGGACCTCAACCTTATCCTCAAACTGATTCACTGGCCAGTTTCAAGCCCAGGAACAAATTTTTTTCTGGTGGATGGGAAAAGCAATGTGATTCCCTATGATACCCATATTTTGGACATATGGAAGCCATGAGAGAGCTGGTAGGTGAAGGGCTGATGAAAGCTACCGAAATCTTTTAACTTCAACCATCTCCAAATCAAGATTGTCAACAAACCTGACTTAAAATATAAGCCAGATCAAGTGCCAACTGTAACTCACTCAGAAGTTGATCCTGTATTGCCACCCCAAAGGCACTGTGATTAAGTATCTACAGTCCCCTCGGCATTCTTTGACAGGCCATGGGTCAAGCCTCAGGTCCCTTCCCTACTGGAAGATCTCAGAATCAAAGCTACAGCTAACAAATACAATAAAACCACAGCCCTGGTTCTGATCTGGTTCCCCATGCAGAGGAATTTGGTCATGATCCCTAAGTCTACAATGCCTGAATGCATCACTGATGCATTTCAGGTCTTTGATTTCTAACTGAGCAGTGTGGATATGACTACCTTACTCGGCTACAACAAGAACTAGAGGGTGCCATGGTAAGCTGGGTCTCCCACAGGAATTATTCCTTCAATGAAGAGTTATGAAGTGTGTCTGCTTTCCCAAGACACCTGCTGCTGTCCTTCTTGACTCACTGTTCCTGTAAGTGGTGGCAGGACAGCCACCTGCAAACGAATCAGCAAGGGCGTGGCCAGCCTGGCATTAGGTCTGAAGAGCAGTCTGAGAAGATTAGAGGAATCTACCAGTTTTCTTTGCCTTTCTTGTCCAGTGGGGACAGAAGAACCTTAATACACTTTTCTTTTTTTTACCTTTTTGTTTTTTAACTATATTTTACTGATTATGCTATTACAGTTGTCCCATTTTCCCCTCTTCACTCCCCTCTACCCTGTACACCCCCTCTCATCCACATTCCTCCCCCTTTAGTTCATGTCCATGTGTCACACATATAAGTTCTTTGGCTTCTACATTTCCCACACTACTCTTAACCTCACCTATTTTCTACCTACCATCTATGCTACTTATTCTCTGTACCTTTTCCCTTCTCTTCTCCTCCCACTCCCCTGCTGGTATCCCTCCATGTGATCTCCATTTCTGTGGCTCTGTTCCCGTTCTAGTTGTTTGCTTAGTTTGTTTTTGTTTTAGGTGTGGTTGTTAATAATTGTGAGTTTGCTGTCATTTTACTGTACATGTTTTTTATCTTCTTTTTCTTACATAAATCCCTTTAACATTGCATACGATAAGGCCTTGGTGATGATAAATTTAGTCTTTTCTGACTAAGATGAATCTACAAAGTGAAAAAGAGTGCCACTAAACAATTTCATTTTGGCTGCCTGGAACTGTAATCCTTTCAGCCAGATTTCTCCTTGCCTCAAATGTAAAGTACTTGGGGAAAAAAGAGTCAAGGCAAGGGGAAAATAATCCACAAAGACTAAAGAAAAGGAATTGTGAATGAGTTAAGAAAACCAGAGACTATAATGTTACACATGTTTACAGAAGAAAATCCCTCAGGAAGGAAAGTATGTTCAACTATCAAAATCCTCTTATGAGACTTCTGCCAAGATGGAGGCATAGGTGGAGACGTCGTGCTTTCTCTCACAACCAAGTTTAGAGACAACTAAATATTAGCATCAGAAAACACAACCAGAACACGGAAAATTGAACTTTTCGGAAGTCCGTTAACAACAAATTCTTCAGCCCGACCGGTAAGGGGCGAAACCAGCGTCTCGTGAGGGGTTGCACAGGAGGACTCCGGTCGGACGGACCCAGGCGCGGAATCCAGACGCGCGAATCCAGACGCACGAATCCAGACGCACGGGTTCCAAACACAGGATTGGACCTAGCGAGCGACTGAGCAACCCACCGGGTGAGCGACTGCTGAGGAGACAGTGGGGAGGCGGTGCTGCGTGTTGACTGCGGTTGCCTGTCTGCGGGCGAGCGGACAGGCGAGGGAGTGGGCGGTTGGACCGGGGCCCGGCCGGTCCCGTGGCATATGGCAGTAGAGGGCGCCGCCATTTCCCCGCTCTGACCACGCCCCCACATACAGCGTCACAACCCAGCGACCTGGGAGTCCAAGGCGCCGCTTCTCACATTTAAAGGGCCAGAACAGAACAAAAATGTCACAGGAAGACCTCAAAGCCCCAGAGATAAATCTAAGCGACGAAGAAATAGCAAAACTCTCAGACGCACAGTTTAAAACACTGGTCATCAGGTTCCTCACAGATCTGGTTGATTATAGCCACAAATTAGAGAAACATATGAAGGCTAAACTAAGGGAAATGAATGGAATTCCACAGGAAACCCATAGAGATGAAAAGGAAACTGGGACTCAAATCAATGGAGTGGACCAGAAGAAAGCAAATAATGGCCAAACAGAAAAGAGTCAAGGAGCAAGAATTCAAAGAAATGAGGAGAGGCTTAGGAACCTCCAGGACATCTTTAAATGCTCCAATATCCGAATCATAGGGGTACCAGAAGGGGGAAAGACACAACCACCAGTGGAAAAATTATTTGAACAAATAATAAAAGAAAATTTCCCCAATCTGGCAAAGGAAATAGACTTCCAAGAAATCCAAGAAGCTCAGAGAGTACCAAAAAAGTTGGACTCAAGAAGAAACACACCAAGGCATATCATAATTACATTAGCCAAAATTAAAATGAAGGAGAGAATCCTAGAAGCAGCAAGAGCTAAGGGGACAATCACCTACAAAGGAGTCCCCATCAGACTGTCAGCGGATTTCTCAAAAGAGACCTTACAGGCAAGAAGGGGCTGGAAAGAAATATTCCAAGTCATGAAATCTAAAGACCTACAACCAAGATTGCTCTATCCAGCAAAACTTTCATTTAGAATGGAAGGACAGATAAAGTGCTCCTCAGATAAGATCAAATTCAAGGAGTTCATCATCACCAAGCCCTTATTATATGAAATGTTAAAGGGACTTATCTAAGAAAAAGAAGTTAAAAAAAACATGAACAGTGAAAGAACAACAAGCTCACAGTTATTAACAACCACACCTAAAACGAAAGCAAACTAAAAGAACAGCTAGATCAGGAGTGGAAACATAGAAATGAAGATCTCAAGGAGGGTTAGCAACAGGGGAGTGGGAGGAGGAGATGGGGGGAGAAGGTACAGAAAATAAGTAGCATAGACAGTAGATAGAAAATAGATGGGGGGGGCAAGAATAGCATGGGAAATATAGAACCTAAAGGACTTGAGACACATGGACATAAACTAAAGGGGAGTAATGGCAGGGTGGAGGGGAATGAAGGGGGGAATAGAACAACTGTAAGAGCATAATCAATTTTAAAAAATAAATTAAAAATAAATAAATAAATAAAATAATTTTAAAAAATAAATAAATAAAAAGTTAAATAATAGCACTTATGTGAAAAAATAAAGAAGCAGGAGAAAAACTAGGCTAGACACACTATTCTGTTTACCCAAAATTGTAGCCCATACTACAAAGAATATTACCCAATTAAAGACTGTAATACTCCACCTTTACTTGTCGAGCTTGGCTGATGACACATGGAAGACTAAAAAGTTGCTGGACAAAGGCCTTCAACTCTTCCACCGTCAGTTTGGTCCGAGTCCTCCCATAATCAGGGCTCTGCCTAATGTAAAATATGAAATAGTACTGAGACATACATAAGAAAAATTCACAGTCATGTGGATATCAAAGGGGCTTCTAATCTCTTTATAATTCTCACCTAAGCAATTCCACAAGAGTGTTTGATAAATTCCACTTACAATGGTGGTCATCAATTCCAAATTAGGTTTTTAGCTCTATAGTTAATGGCTTACAGATTCAACTCCCAAAGTTAGAGTTTCTCCAATGTTGTAAGTATTAAAGATTTTAATAATCAATAAATTCCTCACAGTAATATTAAGTTCACTGATAAAACAGAATTCTCTATCTCACAAAGCTTAAGATGAACAAGGGCATTTATTATGGCTTAGAAAACAACCCTCTGAAACTGATTCAAAATTGTTTGTATTTTTCTTTTAAAAAGGGTCCTTAAGCCCTGGCTGCTGTGGCTCAGCAGATTGAGAGCTGGCCTGTGAACCAAAGGGTTGCTTGTTCGATTCTCAGTCAGGGCACATGCCCGGGTTGCAGGCCAGGTCCCCCGTAGGGGACGCACTAGAGGCAACCACACACTGATATTTCTCTCCCTCTCTCCCTCCCTCCCTTCCCTTCTATCTAAAAATAAATAAATAATATCTTTGAAAAATTAAAAAAATAAATAAATATAAAGTGATCTAATAACAGGTGAAGATTTGCTAATCAATGTCTCTAGGAAAGGTTTCCTGGTAAAATAGCAGATAAAAATGTACAGAAAAACTGCTACAGAAAAAGCCATTCAGATATAAAGAATGTGTTGGAATGAATATGAAACAATACTACAAAAAATGTAAAACATACAAATTACATTAAACCAAGGTCACATTCTTCTGTGCTCCTTGACAGCTTCCCCTGCATCCATCAAGGTTACTCTTTGCTGCCACCCTTCTTCAGCCTATAGTATTCTACATTTACTTACAAATATTTATTGAGTATCTACCGTGCGTCAGGCATTGTTCTAAACACAAGAAATATAGCAATGAAAAAATCTCTTGCATTCTAATCTAGCATACATTTGAGTGTGAAAGGGAAAGAAAGGAGACAGAAAATAAATAAGTACATTAGTATATCAGGAGTTGACCGCGCTAGGAGAAATAAAGAATAATAAAAGAGTTGCAAATTCATAAAGGGCTGTCAGAGAAAGCCTCTACAAGAATGTGATATCTGTATAAGACTTGAGAGAAGTGAGAGGACAAGACACTTGGATATTAGGGGAAGAGAACTCCAAGCAGAGTGAATAGCAGTGTGAAGGCCCTAAGGAGGAACACGTCTGGTGTGCATGAACAGTAAAAGGAAGAAGGATGCAGAGTGAAACAACAAAGAAAGAAAATAATAAATAGTGATGGAAAAATATTAAAAATAGGAAATCTATAAAAAAAGGGGGGAAAAGTAGGAGATAATATTAGGGCATTATTAGAAGAGGGAGGGACATAGATACTATAAGTCAATGATATAAGGCCTCAAAGGCAAGTTAAAATTTTGGCTATACTCCAGAAAAAAAGAAAAAAGGAAACCATTAAAGAATTCAATGCTTCTCAGTCTTACCTGTGTTTCTGCTTTTTGCTCAGAAGCAGTTGAGCCACAGAAGCACAGGTCTCAGCTTCTTTTACAGCATCCCTGAGTTTTCTAAAGAGATCATTCTCTGGGTATTTCCTATCCTCAGCATCTTCCAGCATTACCCGAAATTCAATCAAATCTGTAAAAATAAATTAAAAATGCCCTGACTGGTATGGCTCAGTGGGTTGGGTGTCATCCCACAAACTGAAAAATTAGCAGTTCAATTCCCAGTCAGGGCACATGCCTGGGTTGTGGGATAGGTCCCCAGTTAGGGACCTAAACGAAGCAACTGATCAATATTTCTCTCTCACATTGATGTTTTTCTCTTTCTCCCTCCCTTCCCCTCTCCTTAAAAATAAATAAAATCTTAATGAATAAATAGCTATATACTATGACCATAGACATAAAAAATCATTGAAAAATTTTCACGAACCTCTCTCAAGTCAGTCATCAATCTGTTACCAAAAACATACTGCAGCTGTGAAAAAAAACCTCACTGATGCAATAAAAGCTTACTCCTAATTCTTACAAACAAAACCTTTTAGTTAAGTCAATTTTTCTTTCTCAATAAGCCTTTAATGTTAGTCCATGGGTAACAATGGCTCCCAAAAATATCCATTGCAAGTTAGCTATCTGTCCCATTTTATATCAACATTTTCACTTAAAAAAAAATTCTCAAATAGAAAATTAAGACCATAATTAAGACCATTAGTCTCAAATCTCATATGAAGCCTGAGATTTTGCTTAATGGAGAAAAAACACATAAAACAAGGCCTCTTTCAAAGTCACAACAATTTTCACATATGCATACAAAAGGAGGAAACTTAACCTTTCTTGTGGTTGAAGTTAGCAGATAATGCTTCGGTAACACGACTGACCCAAGTGTCATAGGACTGTGCCCTGACTTTCACACCATATAGCAGAGAAGGGAGATCCTCTAATGGGTAGCGATATCTAAAAATAAGACAAAAATGTGGAAATAAAAACTTCAAAAACCAACAACTTGAAAATAAATTTTAAGAACAATCAACATAAGGAAAGTACAAGAGCCAAAGGAATAGTCTTGGTACAAATATAGAGGAAGTCAAAGAAGCCCAGTTCTAACAAAGGGAGAGATAAGGAGCATGTGAAATCAACTGACAAAGAAACTGATTTTACTTGCTAGGTATAGGGCCAACTTTACAGGACTGGTCCTCAAGCAGGGAGGCAGATTAGATAAGCATTTACCAGCCCAGACACAGGGAAAAAAATTATGAAGAGGAACATTAGCACCTGATTTTAAAAGAAGGTAATGGGAGTATTACAAGAAACTTCTGGATGGATACCTCAGACATTTCTTCTGCATGGGGCAGGGGCACAGATCATTTGGATGGTAGAGACACACAAGTCGTTCAGGGTTACAGGAGCATGTGAGAGCAGAGAGAAAGCACGTCGTTCTGCAGGCTGAACACTGTCGCTCATCATCAGGAACAAGTTCAAATACTTCTTCTTCTGACATCAAGACACCCTGAAATACAATTTATGTTATTAGATCAAGTCTTTCTAGTCTTTCAAGCATCAAAGAACTTCCTTAATTAAGTTTTTCTCTATGGGTAAATCTCTGAATTAAGATATAAACATAGGAGGTACAATGGCACATCATCAAAATACTTTCTAAAAATAATTATTAGTATTTATTTTAAATGGACAAGACTAAACCTTGGTATCTAGAAATGCATATTATACTGATAAAACTTTTTAAATTACAAGGATGTTATTTCTGCAAAGGTCCAAACAGTCAGGGAAGTTATAATTGGGAGGGATTTGGGGGGTAAATGACAAAAGTTGTATTTCTTGACCAGAATTGTGATGACAACAAAGTTTATCATATAATAATTCATAAAACCAAATATTTGTTTTGTGTGCTTTTTATCTTCTCTCTAAAAGAAGAAAAAAAATTGTCCCAAGGACAATATACCTTTGAACCAGATACATTAGTAATCTATGATCTAAAAATGACACTGATATATACAAACATATGTAAAGATAAAGAAGTATAAAATAAACTATGAGAACCACAACATAATCTCCTTGGGCAAGATATCAAAAAAAGTTCATCAGTATGCCAGTTTAAGAAAACAACAACATCTGAAGTTGTATTTTACAAAGATTCCATTTAATATATAAGGGCTCGCTTTATGGTTTCTATTTACTTGGGCAAAGTACTTATAAACCTATTTCCACAATGAGAGCAAACTTTTTACACTTAATGTGGGACCTGATCATTTATTTTCACTGGCAGACACAATCTAATTAGTTCTTTGAACATATACTTTCTAAAAAATTAATTATTTTTTACTACTTACTATTTTTTAAGATTTTTTTTTATTTTTAGAGAGAGGGAAAGAGAAGGAGAAAGAGAGGGAGAGAAATGCGTGGTTGCCTCTCATCTGCCCCCCTACTGGGGACCTGGACTGTAACTTAGGCATGTGTCCTAGCCTGGGAATCAAACCAGCAATCCCTTGGTTCGCAGGCCTTCACTCAATCCACTGAGCTACACACCAGCCAGGGCAACATATACTTTGTTTTGATATTGAATTAATCTCACTATACTCTCTTATTTTTCTACTTTCTTATATTAGCATCTAATATTTTCATTAAAAATTATTTTTATGCTACTTCCAGCCAAGATGGAGGCACAGGTAGACACACTGTGCCTCCTCACACAACCAAAAGGACAACAATTTAAAAACAAAAAACAACAGAATTGACAGAAAATTGAACTGTATGGAAGTCCGACAACCAAGGAGTTAAAGAGGACAAACTCATCCAGAACAGTAGGAGCAGGCAGCCAGGAGAAGAGGACTTGAGCAAGGAGGTAGCTGGCAGACCCAGGAGGTAGTGGACTGTGAAACTGGGAGCAGCTTGCAAGGCTACAGCTGGACAGCAAGGTGGAGGCTGGGAAACCAGAGACCACAGACCACAGACCAGGTGGTCCTACATTCGCATGCAGATAAACCAGGTGAAACTGGGAAACGGGTGGGACCGTACAACCCAGGGCCCCAGCTCAGAGAAATAAAGCCTCAAACCACTGATTGAAAACACCTATGGAGATTGGGCTGCCCAGAGAGACTCCCAGACTCACAGGAGAGTTTGCTGGAGAGACCTTCAGGGTCCCAGAACATACACAAACCCACCCACATGGTAATCAGCACCAGAAAGGCCCAACTGGCTTGTGGGAAGCAAGGGAAGTGACTGAAATCCTGCAGAGAGTGGAGCAGGTGCCATTTTCCCTCTCGGACCCCTGTCCCCCCGCACAGCGTCACAACTCAGCAACGTGGGTTGCCCCACCCAGTGAACACCTAAGGTTCCGCCCCTCACTATGTAACAGGAACAAGACCAAAAAAATTGCCCAAACAAGTGAACAGGTCAAAGCTCCAGAAAAAATACAACTACGCTAAGAAGAGGTAGCCAACCTATCAGATGCACAGTTCAAAACACTGGTAATCAGGATGCTCACAGAATTGGTTGAATTTGGTTGCAAATTAGATGAAAAAATGAAGGCTATGCTAAGTGAAATAAGGGAACATGTACAGGGAACCAATAGTGATGGGAAGGAAACTGGGGATCAAATCAATCAAGTAGACCAGAAGCAAGAAAGAAACAACCAAACAGAAAAGAATGAAGAAACAAGAATTCAAAAAAAATGAGGAGAGGCTTAGGAACCCCAGGACATCTTTAAATGTTCCAACGTCCTAATTATAGGGGTGCCAGAAAGAGAAGAGGAAGAGGAACAAGTGGGAAAGTTATTTGAACAAATAATAAAGGAGAACTTCCCCATTCTGGCAAAGGAAATACACTTTCAGGAAGTCCAAGAGGCTCAGAGTACCAATGAAGTTGGACCCAAGGAGGAACACACCAAGGCACATCATCATTACATTAGGCAAGATAAAAATGAAGGAGAGAATCCTAGAAGCAGCAAGAGAAAAGGAAGCAGTTACCTACAAAGAAATGCCCATAAGACTATCAGCAGATATCTCAAAAGAAAACTTGCAGACAAGAAGGTGCTAGAAAGAGGTATTCCAAGTATGAAAGGCAAGGACCTACATCCAAGATGACTGTATCCAGCAAAGCTCTCATTTAGAATGGAAGGGCAGATAAAGTGCTTCCCAGATAAGATCAAGTTAAAGAAATTCATCATCACCCAGCCCTAATTGTATGAAATGTTAAAGGGACTTATCTGAGAAGATAAAAAATATGAACAGTAAAATGACAACAATCTTACAGTTATTAACCAAACCTAAAACAAAAACAAAAATCAAACTAAGCAAACAATTAGAAGAGGAATCACAGAAATGGAAATCACATATGGAGGGTTATTCACAGGGGAGTGGAAGGGGGAGAGATGGGGGAAAAGGCACAGAAAATAAGTAGCATAAATGGCAGGTACAAAATAGACAGATGAGGTTAAGAATAGTATAGGAAATGTCAATGCCAAAGAACTTATATGTACAATCCCTGGACATGAACTACGGCCAAGGGGAAAGCAAGTGGGAGGGGGTGTGCAGAATGAAGGGGAATAAAGGGGGGGAAATGGGACAAATGTAATAACATAATCAATAAAATAAATACATTAAATTAATTAATTAAATGTAACAGTATTTTCAATACAAAGTTGTTGCTTTATTTCTACCTACCAATTATTCTTGGTTCAAGTTCTCCTAGGTACTTGAAATTTTAAAAGACATATGATACAAGACAATAAACTTTGATCCATATCTCATTCATTCCACATACAAAAATTAACCTGAAATAGATGATAAACCTGGCAATAAGAACTAAAATTATAAAATACTTGTGGAAAGCATAGGACAAAGTCTTTGTGATCTTAGATTGAGCAAAGGTTTCTTAAATATAACCAAAAGCACAAGCCATAAAAGAAAAAGTGATAAACTAAATTTCATAAAAATTAAGAACTTCTGCTCTTTAAAAAAAAAATACTGTTAAGTAATGGCTAAGACAAGCCACAGACTGGAAGAAAATACTTCCAGATATATTACATATCTTATGAGGAATTTACATCCAGAATATATAAAGAACTCTCAAAATTCAATAAAAGCCCTGGCTGGTGTAGCTCATGGATTAAGCGTGGGCCTGCGATCCACAAGATCGTGGTTCAATTCCCAGTCAGGACACATGCCTGGGTTGCAGGCCAGTTCCCAGCAGGGGACTCATAAGAGGCAACCATACATTGATATTTCTCTCCTTCTCTCCTTCCCTTCCTCTCTAAAGATAAATAAATAAAATCTTAAAAAGAAAAAAGAGTTAAAAAATTTTTTTAAAGTTCAATAAGAAAACCACCCAATTTTTAAAAGCTGGACAAACCAAATTGATGATTGTGGGGGTGGGGAATATTGGGAAGCTGGGTAAAAAGGCAAAGGAATTAAGAAGTACAAAATGGCAGTTACAAAATAATCATGAAGGTTTAGAGTATAAGGAAAATAGTCAGTAATTTTATAATAACCATGTATAGTGCCTGGTGGGTACTCGACCTATCAAGCAGATCACTTCATAAACTATATAATAGCTCATCACTATGCTATATACCTGAAGTATTATAAAATAATATTGAATGTCAACTATAATTGAAAATAAAAAGGTTAGGCAAAAAATTTTAATAGATTCTTCCCCTAAAGATACGTAACAGCCTTAAGCACAGAAGAATGTATTCAAAATCATCAGTCATTACAATGAAAACTATAATGAAATACCACTAGAAACCTATTAACAAGTTAAAAAGACTAACCATACCAAGTGTTAATGAGAATGTAGCACAAGCAGAACTCTCACATACTGTTGGTGGAAATGTAAAGTGATTCAACCTCTTCAGAGTACTTTGTCAGTTTCTATGTTACAAAAAAATTAAACACACACATACCATATGACCCAGCCATTCCACTGCTAGTGTTTACCCAAGAAATAAAAACATGTCAATATAAAAATCTGTGCATAAATGTTCACAACAGTTTCATTTGTAGCGGGCAAAAAACAAAACCAATTTATTTATTTTTATTTTTAAAGATTATTTATTTATTTACTTACTTATTTTTAGAGAGAGAGAAAGGGAAGGAGAAATAGAGGGAGAGAAACATCAATGTGTGGTTGCCTCTCAAGCACTCCCTACTGGGGACCTGGCCCCCAAACCAGACATGTGCCCCGACTGGGAATCAAACTAGCAACCCTTTGGTTCACAGGTCTGTGCTCAGTACACTGAGCTATGCCAACCAGGGTAACCAAAAACAATTTAAAAGACTTATTTACTTTTTATATTTAGAGAGAGGGGAAGAGAGAGAAGAAGAGAGAAACATCAATTAGTTTCCTCTCACAGCACCCCATCTGGGGACTGAACCTACAACCAAAGCACGTGCCCTGCCTGGGAATTGAACTGGTGGCCTTTTGGTCTGCAGAATGACACCCAACCAACTGAGCCACATTGGCTTGGGCTAAAACAATTAAAATGTTCATTCACAAGTGAATGGATAAACAAACCATGGTATGTCCATTCAATGTAATACTCTTGGCAATAAAAAGGTATATACTATCAATTCATGTAACAGTGTGGCTAAATCTCAAAGTATTTATGCTAAGTGAAAGAAATCAGATAAGAAGTATAAATTACATAATTCAATTAAAATAAAACACTCCAAAAATGGTGAACTAAAAGTAGGTCAGTGTTTTCCTATAAGGGGTGAGTGGGATAGAATAGAACAAGAAGAAAGGATCACGAAGGGGCATAATGAAACTTCTGAAGGTGGTATGCTCATTATCTTAATTGTGACAAAGGTTTCACAAGTATATTGAAACCAAATTATACACTAGAAACATATTGTTTATTGTATATCAATTATATCTGAACAAAGCTGTTCAATTATATCTGAACAAAGCTGTTCAAGAATATCTAAGTAGAGAAAGCAGAAGGGAGTAAATCACAAATCTAGTGAGACTAGCTATAAAAGGAGGGGTCAGGGAGATTGGGCCAAGATAAAGATAAAGAAAGATTTTCTCACATAGTTCCCATTTCAATGTGATAAATGTTTAGCTTATTCTAAGCATTCAAATCCCAACCCTTGGTTATTCAGTTCTTTCTACTCATTAAATTACTTAGAAGAAGGAGAAATAGTAGACAGATTAATTTTCAAGTTACATTTCTGGTGACTGACAGTCTATAATCCCCAGAAATGTAACTTTCATTCAATTAGAAAGCTCAGAGAGAAAAGAAAGGTTTGAACTTTCTTGTTTAAAGAAATAATACTATATGTAGGAGATTTTTTAAAAAAATAAACATTTACCTAAGAAATTCTATCTAAGGACTCCATTTTTAAAAACCTAGAGATGATGACAGTAAGATTCTTAAAACATTTTCAAGTTGAAGAAACCAAAATGACAAGTATAAAAATATGAAATGTTTCCAAACTAATGATATTTGTGTTCAACTTCTAAAAAGATCAAAAATGAAATGCATTTTTGTAGGTTCAATTTTTTATATTGTATTAAATACAGTATACCATAACCAGTATTCCATAACCAGTATTAAATACAGGAAATGTGTTCAGCAAACTCACCATTTGCACCACAGCCTCCCTTAATCGTGTCTCTTCTTCAGTCATCAGAGTCAATTCTTTGCACACCATGGCAGCCAGCCCCACATCTAAGCATTCTGGATCTGCTGCCATTTTGAAAATGAGTTCCTCATGTGAAAAGACACAATGGCGCCTTAGCCGGCGGTAATGATTGACACATTGACGTCCAATGGGCAACTGAAAACAAGACAAGATTCTCAAATTAAATTACCTGCTTATAACATATTCCAGAACAGAACCACTATTTACCCTCCAGAGCCTCCCTTTTATTATAAAGAAGACAGAGTAATGAATTCCACTTGAACATAAGAAGCAATTGTAAAAATTAAACCTCTATGGCCCAAATGGAATTTTGATTCCCATAATTTTGAGCTGCTAAACTTCTGGCATAAGCTGCTGATTTTCTACTCATTATGTACATCAAGAAGTATGAGTTCCTTTACATAAATAAATGAGGCAGCAAACTTTTAGACCAGGCTAACATAAAACTGCCATTATAGGAATAAAGAGAAAAAAAATCAGGCTATAAAGTGTTAAGTGGACATATTCAGCATTGGAGATGCCACAGAACAAAAAGAACAGTTGTTATAAGTATCCAAAGGGGGGGAAAAAAGGGGTGGGAGGGAAGGAGGTAAAAAAGGAAGAAAAAGGTCTGAATTGCTTACTATTTAAGCAATTCATATTGACTGACTTTTAACTTTTTTTAATGAGGACCAATGCAAAAAGATGATTTAGATTTTTGGCATCTAGGAATTCTTTTAAAAGTCTGGTCTACAGAAAATTCAAGATAAAAGTGTAAGATTACATACTTTATTTTCCTTAAGTGAGATAAATTACTAATTACTCTTCCTAAATCACAGATATACTCTGTAAGATGAATTATAAAAATCTATTTAACCATCAAGCTTTAGTTTAAACCAAATAATAATACTAGCTATCAAATACACATACATACACATACATTCTCTCTCAACTTCTTCCTTATACTAGCTGAAAAACTTGGGTGGCTAAAAGGAGTTTTTGTTTGTATTTGAAAACTGCAACATAAAATAGAAAACATTAAAAAATGAACATTTAAAAACCATCTAGGGAAAAAAAACATCTAGAATTCACCTCCATTTTCAGAAAGTAATCATAAGAACCACAGTTCAAGAGTAGGAGACTATCTCTGAATCAAGCAGTTATTTTCAAAGAAACAAACTTTACTAAGAAAATAAATATATTGAGCTTATGATCAGCAAATATTTGTCAATAATATACAACTCTTTCATTTCTTAATTCTTACATATTTACTCTTCAAACATTTCTTATATAGCTTTAATACAAGAGCAAGAAAGAGAAAAACAAAACTGGGATTTGCAGTTCTTAATTACTACAATATGTAAGGAGCCATATAAAAGAGCTGATTTATTTAACTACTTGCTTATAAAAATTAGTACCATCATTTTATTCCAGATATAAAGCTGTTATATATAACTTTTCATTTATATCACTACCTTCCTCTGAAGAATAGTATCAAGAGCTTTTACATACATTGTTTCACTTGTTTGAGGTTATTTCATGGATCAATACATTTATATACCAGGTAATATTTGAGGTTATTTCATGAATCAATATATTTATATACCAGGTAATAAAACCTAAGCCCAGGGAAATTTAAAAAGCTACCCATGGTCAAATATCAATAATAGCAAGTTAAAGGCAGAAACAATCTCTAACTCATCTCTGAATCATCTCCATTTCCCACCCCAAACCTAACCAACCAATAAATAAATCATAAGCAATAAAAGCTGAATTTTTAAAATAGAGTTCAAACTCAGGGCAAAGTCCTAAGTTTGGTCTTGCTCTTACTGCTTCCTAAGTCCAATGAGAAAGAAGTTTAAAATTACTAGATCAGCCCTGGCTGGCAGAGTTCAGTGGATTGAGCGCGGGTCTGCGAACCAGAGTATCGTGGTTCGATTCCTGGTTCGATTCCCAGTCAGGGCACATGCCTGGGATGCGGGCAAGTTCCCAGCAGGGGACGCATGAGAGGCAACCACACACTGATATTTCTCTCCCACTCTTTCTCCTTCCCTTCCCCTCTCTCTCGAAAAATAAATAAATAAAATAAAATAAAAATTACTAGATCAAATAAGATTGTTCACTGCATCATTTCATCCACTAACCAAGGAAACAAAAAATGGTTAATCATGAAATTTAATAAACTAAGATGCCCACAGAAAACATAAGATCCAATATTCTAAAGGCCATTCCTCAAAATGTTGAGAGGTGACAGAAACACCACTAAAGGAAAAAGTCGAAGAGTGTATTATATATGTGCAGTCTTTCCCAAACCGTATGACGATTACAAGTAAATATTTTTTTGATAATTAGCTTATACAAAAGCAAAATAGCAATCATTGGTATTACCATTTAAACAGCAGTACAGCCTGTAGAGATTTTAGTATTATAGTTACTCTTTAAAGTAATTTTTTAAAGTTGAATATAGAAAACATAATAGAAGAGAGAATAAAAATCACCTAATTGTCCATCAAAAAAATAAAACAGATATTTTAAAATAAAAGCACAGAGCTAGATATTTGAAAATATGGTAGAATGAATTCTTATTAAAAAGGTCTAGTCATCTCTATGAAATCTAAAGGTGCTCAGAGGAAGCAAAGACTAGAATAAAACATATTCTCTCAGAAAAGATTCTGAGAAAATAGGAACTATTTAAAATTCAAACAGAATGGGCCAAATAATGAATAAAAAGTAAAGAACCATGACATCTTCCAAATAAAAGCCATAATGGGAACTCTAACTGAACTCTGTAAATTACTACAGCCACTCCAATCTGTACTGAAATATTCACGAACCCTCCCCTCCCCTCCCCAGCTAAGGAAATATGGCAACTAAGATGCATTTTCCAGGGATGTTAGTAGACGTACAACAGCTACTTGCTATAGAACAGACCCAGTCAGCAGTACAGAAGTTCACAGCTTCGGCAAAGTTGTAGCCCTGATTAAATCCAGAATGATAGGCACGGGGAAACGTCACAACAAACTCGCCAGCACACTGATTGGTCCTGTACACCTAAGTGTAAATTCAAAACAGTGATACAAAACAAAACAAAAACAAAAAAAAGAGGGTGACAGATTTGATCAGTCAGTTTCAGAAGCAGTTTGTAAAACTGAAAATAACAGAGCATTAACCTACGCACATCGGAAAATAGTATAAAGTTTAAGAAGCAGCCAGAATTCTACCTTCTTAAAACAGTCACTGATAACAGTTATAATAATTCATGACAAAAACAAAAATTCTCAAAGAGAAAGCGTTACTCTCACTGAGCCACTAGTTTCCTAAGTTGATAGGATTTTTACAATTAAGAGAATTTAATTTTTTATTCTTGTGTTGTAAAGGAACTTCCTCCCATTCTTGAATAATTTTTTAGAAAGAGACTGATTAGCTCATATGTATTATGGAGAAATCCCCATGTTTCCTAAATCTCATTTCATTTATAATACTATGTATCTTTTGAAAAGGCCTATATTCTAGTATAAATTCACTCTATAAAGACAAGTAACACTCCCACTAATCTAGTCTCACTGGGGTTATGATGAGTATCTGACTGTATTTAACAAATACCAAATTTACACTTTATCAGGTGTTAGTAGCTTAAATTTAATAATCATTCTCAAAACTAAGTTGAAAAGTAGAAAAAATATTCACGTATGTTTCCTTCATCATCTCGTGTGGAAAAAAGCTGTGATATCCTTATAAAAAGTATGTATGATTTCCAAAAGAATGAACATTAGTTATTAGAACTACCACTTAAAGTACTTCTGTTAAATAGGGAAAATAAAGAATATAAGATTTTTGTTAAAACCAAGATACAATGATTTACTGAAAGCAAAAGGTTATTTTAATACTTATCTATACATAAAGTACAATTCATACTTTAACATACCCCCTTTTTTCATCAAATAGATGTCCCTTCAGAGTGTAAATTCTATTTTAGCTAGAAGATGACATGATCTTTTACTTCCAGTTATAAAACAAAGCATTTGTTGCAACTATCTAATCAAAAGCTAAAATAACTCTTAATTTAAAATACTGAAAGGAGACACAAAAAGACTCACAGGCACGCCATGCTCCATTAGCACATTGGGGTTCATGATGGTGACTAACTGATGTAGAAGATCAGGCTGAGATTCAAATAACTCAGGGGCCAGCTTCCTCATCACTTCCTCCAGTTGTTCTGCAGCATGAGATGGCACACCATACCATGTCTTTGGCTCCCCCCTAGCAAAAGAAATAACTGTTTAGCTAGGTAGAGCATGGTGCCAATGGGGACAGTGTCTCTGAAGCGAATCCACTAAATTATAATTAACTGTCTTGTTTCAAATAGCCACAGACTGTACACCCTGAATCCTGGCAACAATCTCATAAATCTGTGCTATTGTTTGTAATAGGTACATACTGATCACTATTAAAACAATTCAAAACACATGAACTCCTTAAGGTGCATCAGTAAATAGTATCTTCAAACAGGAAAGAAATTACATGAAAAGTACACACCGTTTAAAGGATACTGAAACACTTCCTTGATTCACAGGTCCACCGAATATTCTTATCATCCCCAAAATTATCAAAGTAAAAGTCAATGCTCTCTAGAATATCTTTCAATAATTTCACCAAGCTCAATTTTACAATAAAAAAAAAATAAGCCAAGGCCAGAAATTGTTGAGACCTTGAACAGAGTTCTATCTCTATATCTTAACAACCAAAAACTTGGCACCATTAATGTACTAGACTTTAGTGCATTAGTGTTAATTTATAATGCCTAGGTGTACTCCTAGGAAATGTATTTATTTACTCATTTTTTATATGATACCTCCATTTCTTAATCCTAATCCAATTCTAGAAATTACTGATGATGATGGAAATGTTCTTCTAATGTAGGAGCTGCAAGCCAGGGAGCTATTTAAGTGTTTTTTTTTAAATATTTTATTGATTATGCCATTACAGTTGTCCCATTTCCACCCCCTTCATTCCCCTCCACCCTGCACACTCCCCCCCACCCACATTCCCATTTAGTTCATGTCCATGTGTCATGAGTTCTTTAGATTCTATATTTCCCATACTATTCTTGCCCTCCCCCTATCTATTTTCTACCTACTGTCTATGCTACTTATTCTCTGTACCTTCTCCCCCCTTCTCCTCCTCCCACTCCCCTATTGCTAACCCTCCATGTGATCTCCATTTCTATGGTTCTGCTCCTGATCTAGCTGTCCTCTTAGTTTGCTTTTGTTTTAGATGTGGCTGTTGATAACCATGAGTCTGCTGTCCTTTCACTGTTCATATTTTCTTATCTTCTTCTTCTTAGGTAAGTCCCTTTAACATTTCATATAATAAGGGCTTGGTGATGATGAACTCCTTGAATTTGATCTTATCTGAGAAGCACCTTATCTGTCCTTCCATTCTAAATGAAAATTTTGCTGGATAGAGCAATGTTGGTTGTAGGTCTTTAGATTTCCTGACTTGGAATACTTCTTTCCAGCCCCTTCTGGCCTGTAAGGTCTCTTTGGAGAAATCCGCTGACAGTCTGGTGGGAGCTCCTTTGTAGGTGACTGTCCCCTTAGCTCTTGCTGCTTCTAGGATTCTCTCCTTCATTATAATCTTGGCTAATATAATTATGATGTGTCTTGGTGTGTTCCTCCTTGGGTCCAACTTCTTTGGGACTCTCTGAGCTTCCTGGATTTCCTGGAAGTCTACTGCCTTTGCCAAAATGGGGAAGTTCTCCTTTATTATTCAAATAAGTTTCCCACTCGTGGCTGTTCCTCTTCCCCTTCTGGTACCCCTATAATTCGGATGTCGGAATGTTTAAAGATGTCCTGGAGGTTCCTAAGCCTCTCCTCAGTTTTCTGAATTGTTTCTTCATTCTTTTCTGCTTGGTCATTTTTTTCTTCCTTCTGGTCCACTCCCTTGATTTGAGTCCCAGTTTCCTTTCCATCACTATTGGTTTCCTGTGCAATTCCCTTCATTTCAATTAGTTTAGCCTTCATATGTTCCTCTAATTTGTGACTAAAATCAACCAGTTCTGTGAGCATTTTGATCACTAGCATTTTGAACTGCGCATCTGATCGGTTGGCTATCTCTTGGTGGCTTAGAAGTATTGGCTCTGGGGCTTTGACTTGTACTTCTGTTTGAGCCATAATGTTTGTCTGTTTGTGCCTGTTATGTATGAGGGGTGGAGCCTTAGGTGTTCACCAGGGCGGGGCAACCCAGGTCACTGGGTTGTGACACTGTATGTGGGGGCTGGGTCAGAGAGGGGCAATGTCATTTGTTCTCAGCTCTCTTGGATTTCGGTCTCCTCTGCTGCTTCCCGCGAGCAAACCTGGCCCCCCTGGTGCCGCCTACAGGGTGTGTGGGCCTGTGCACCCTCCAGGACCCTGTGGGTCTCTCCAACAAACTCTCTGTGAGCCTGGGATCTTCTCCCAGCACCTGGACCCCCGAAAGTTTTTCCAATTGGTGCTTTTAGGCTTTAATTTCCGTCACTGGGGCCCTAGCCTGTGCGGTTTGTCTCACTGCTTGCTCCTTTGCCTGATTTATCTGCATGCAAATGTGTGACCGCAGTAAGCCAGTTGCCTTGCACACCCACTGGGTCCGCCCATTGCTACCCCACACCTGAGATCTGCCAACTGCCACCCGCACACCTGGGTCCATATCGCCACTTTTTCCTGTGCGCAACCTCAAGCCAGCTGCTGACTCCGCCCCACTTACCGGTCTGGCTGAGTGGCTCGTTGTTGTTAGACTTACATACAGTTCAATTTTCTGAGTTTTGGTTGCATCTTTGTTACTAAAACTTTGTTGTCTTTAAACTTGGTTGTGTGAGGATGCACAGTGTTTCTGCCTAAGCCTCCATCTTGGCCGGAAGTCCTGTTTTAAGTGTTTTTGATATTCTGAAAAAACTACTCAGAGGGCCAGCAGTTGTGGACATGTAGTTTATTCTTTACATTACCGGGGACTGCACCACTGGCAGTGGACTGGTAGAGATACTGCACCCTACCTCCACCTTGTTAATTATAGGGTTATGGAAGGAGTAGCGAGTGAAGGTTCTACTTTTGTGATAAACACAGGAGTCTTATGAGACATGGGCTTTGAGGGGTCTGAGACATCCAGATATAGCCTGTTTTTATCATTCCTTAACGCTACCAAACCTGTTCTCTGAGGTCGTACAGGGGCCATGCCCTGAGCTGTCCCATGTTCTATTACAACATTGTTTTTTACTTCATAACTTTTGTGTTAGTTTTTCCAGAGAGGCAGACCCTGGCTGGTGAGAATGTTGGCATATTGTATTTATATGCCATAAATATAGTATAAGCTACACATACCCCAGGTGGAGGAGAAAAAGGCCAAGAATATCAAGGAGGAAATGACTTTTGTCTTACTCAATAAGACAACCTCCAAGATTTTGACAGAGAAACCAGGTCCCTGTCTATGTAGTATATGGAAGGGTTTTCGTTTTTGTTTTTGGGGGGTTTTGTTTTGTTTAATTTGTCTGAATAAGGGAAACAAGGGAATAGGACTTAAGCTGGAAAAGAAGCTGTTAGCTGATTTTTCCAAGGTAGGGATAGGCTAGAATTTGCAAAGTATTATTATTTTGATTTGGAATTGCGAAATTTAATTTGATTATTTAGTTTTGATAATAACTCTATTTAGTTAAACCATTGAGCAATGTAGATGGGCTTTTAAAGTGAGGCCTATACTGTGTAAACAAATAATCGGGTATGAAAACCAAAGAACACAAAGGTTAATGAACATAGTAACTTACAAACTAGTTTCTGAGTTTGTTAAGTGTCAAATGGGAAGACTTCCAAATGCAAGGCTTTTGCTGAAATTAAATTAAGTAGTGACAATTTGATAGAGATTATCTTTATCTCTAGTTTATATGTTTCTGGAGAGAAAACTAAAAAAATTCAGGACCCAGTCTAATTTATAGAGAAGAAATAAAATTTTATAGACAATTTATTTTTAATGAGTCTAATTTTTTATAATTGTGTATAACAGATTTTATTGAAACAATTTTTGATTATTTTAATTAAAGAATCAAATTAGGGTCAATTTACTTCCTGTATTAAGTCCAATTTTAATTTTGCCTAATTATTTGTATAAACATAATAGGAATAGTAATGGATTATACAAGTATTTTAAATTTTTTTTGTTGGAATGTTATACAAAGTTGTCATCAGACTTTGTCTGCAATATTTATAGATATGGGTGAGCTTTTCAAGTTTTTGAGGTTAGCAAAATGTTTTGAGGGTTTTTGGTTTTCAATTTGCCATGAAAGTAATTTTTTTACCTGGAAAGACTGTCACAATTCTTTTGAAAAGCAAAGTACCAGTCAATTTTTCTAAGGGGCTTTCACTAATTTTCAAAGTTAGTCTTAATTTTTTAATTTTTTGGTGCCATTCAGAGCCCAGGCATTTTTTTTCATCATGACATTCCAAACAAAGACTTGGTTAATGAAGCCATAATTGAAAACTGGCTTATGTGTCCTATTACAAAGACATCAGATTTTGATTGGATTTATGTAAATAATGTCACCTTGGCTGTTATGGCTCAGTGGATTGAGTGCCCGCCTGCAAACCAAAGGGTCACCAGTTCAATTCCCAGCCAAGGTACACACTTGGGTTGAAGGCCAGGTCTCCAGTAGGGAGTATGTGAGAGGCAACTAACTACACACTGATGTTTCTCTCTTTCTCCCTCCCTTCCTCTCTCTCTAAAAGTAAATAAATACTCAAAAAAGCACTGTCATGGAAAGAATATTTAAGAGTTTCTAAATTTCAGAGGATCAGGTATGAAGAAAAATATAAATGTTTTAATATTGTTTATGAAACTATAATTTATCAAGTTGTTTTAGGAAAATAAAGTTTTCTTACATCTGAAAAAAGATAAAAAATTAGTATTTTTTTAAAAAGTTATGTAACCATTATTTTTAATTTATTATGTCCTGTAATTAATTTTTGTCTATGCTGATTATTTGCAAGCATGTCTACAAATTCAGTTATTTCAGAGTTTTAGCAATTTTTAGTCAGTTTAAAGGTATAATTTGAAAATCCATTTTCAGACATATGAAATTCAAAACAAGTCACAGTCCTCTCCATGCACTCCTCCAAAGACATAATATATTGTTGTAAATGTATTATAGTAAAACAATGACTGTTTATAAAAGACAAATCTTAAAATTATTTATTAGAGATTTGATCATGTAACTGACAGGACTTGTCCAGATGAAGGCA